AGCCACCCAAGTAGCTGGGACTACAGGCCCAACCCACCCTGCCCCACTCCTAAAATTCTGGAAGCTTACCAAAATCTACCACACTACATAAAAATCCATTCCTAATATCTGAAAAATTGGATCCAGTAGGGACCCAGCAGACCTTTTTAAGTACAGCATTTCTAATTATGTTTCTGTAGAAGACAGGCTCCTCAGGAAGGCAGTAGTATGCAAATATTTTAAACTTATGGACAAATACATTTGTGAAACACTATTTGAAACAACGCCAAACAGATTTCTTTTTCTGAACCTTTCACATGCCCTTACACATTATGGCTCTCTAAGAAGGCAATAAAGCATGTGCTTGTCAAATTCATTGGTCTCATGTCCTTTTTTCAAAGAGGTGTCTTGTATTTCTAATAGAAGTTTTGTAGAATATACTTTGGGAAACAATAAAGTGTTAGTTATATAATCAGGAATATGTGCTTATGTGCCTTAGGAATATTCACTTGGAGGCTACATACATTAAGGATGAAGTAGAGAGACAGAGGCAAAGAAAACAGGCGATATGTTCAGGTAAATATAGTCCAGGTGATAAGAGTGATTACCAAAAGCTAACATAAATACATTGTGAATTTCAATTAGGCAGGACTTTGCAATTGAATGGAAATAGGCAGCAAGGACAGGACACAGGTAGTATGGAGTCATAGTATTCAAACATATTTTGTTGACTAGAAAAATTGGTACACTCTTCATAGAAATTAAGAAAATAAAAGCTGCACCTTAGTGGGATCTGGATAAACTTACCAAGGGAATAAAAGACCTACATTAATTCTGCTGGAAAGATAGCTGAACCATATTCTTTTCTTCCAGTTGGACTTTTCATCCTCCTTTCTTTTTCTTTTCTACCTTCTGTCGGCCCTCTTAAAGTTACCTTTATCACCAGGTCTGGCTACTGAGGGAAGCAATCTCATTGGTCTCTTTTTTTCTATCTCCCAAATGGATATTAAAACAAACAAAAAAAATCACACAATTCTTCTTTTCAGAGTTCTTAAAACTGCTTTTTAGGAGTTTTAGTGCTGATGAATAGAGGAAATAAATATCTTATTAGGACCCCACTTCAACATATGCTAGCCAGTTGCTTAGTGTGATAGAAGGGGCAATACAAACAAACTGAAAGTTACAATGGCTTTTTAAAAACTTACAGAAGTGTAATTGTTTGGGACTACTCTTAAAACTCATCTCTTTTAGAATGACAACACGCTATGTTTAATCATTGATATTATATAAAAATTCATTTTGTGCACTAATATATGGATGCTTAATAATATGGTCTGCTCTTGGGAAACTTAGTTGTCCCTGCTTTAGATAATTTAATTAAAAAGAGGTTTAGGTTGGTTCGTGCTTCTACAATATAGTCTTTGTGACTCAAGGGTCACATTGTAACTTGAATGCTACTGCAGAGGTTAAGAACGAGAATTTAGATATCCATTGACTCAGATTTAAAATAATGGAGCACTTTAATGTAAACAGCGTTCTCCCCTCCCAAACAAAACATAAACCACACCATTTTCTTTTCTACTGCACATACATTATTATTCAACCAAAGCCCTATTCTTGATTACCCCATTCCAGAACAAACAGAAATGAACTCACTTCCACTTGGCCCTCCCTTGTTTTAATGCACTTTTGTGACTTTTGTTCCTTCATTTGACAAATCTCATCTTCTTTTCCCTCACAGGCATATTTAATGCTGAATCATTTTGTAGGTGATAATTATATGAGGCAACTGCTCTGCCTGTCACCTCAGCATAATTAATAGCACTCTCTTCCACTCCCAAGTGCCTCAATTTGCTGATATGGTCACCCGATGTGTCATACCTAATTTTTCTCTTCTCATCCCCCAATTTCCCATTTCCAATTTTAACCACAGTTATTTTTTAAAGCATAGGATTATATACTAAATGGGGAAAAAAAGAAGTCATCTAGTTGTATTTCACACTATGAGAATTCCTTTGACAAAATCCTTCATAGGATGCCTCTATCTGAACTTTCTGGCAGCTAATTCGTTACCTTTTGAGGTGGTATTTTCCACTACTAGGCATCTCCCCCCCCCTTTCTTTTTTTCTGAGACAGTCCTGCTCTGTCACCTAGGCTGGAGTGCCCTGGCATGACTCAGGTCACTGCAACCTCCACCTCCTGGGTTCAAGCAATTCTCCTGCCTCGGCTTCCTCAGTAGCTGGGATTACACGCACACACCACCAGACCTGGCTAATTTTTGTATTTTTAGTAGAGATGGGGTTTCACCATGCCGGCCAGGATAGTCGAACTCCTGACCTCGTGATCCACCCACCTCAGCCTCCCAAAGTGCTAGGATTACAGGTGTGAGCCATCGTGCCCGGCCACTACTAGTCATCTCTAAGTTTTAAGAAAGTCTTTATTTTCAGCTTTAATTTTTTCTTCCCCAGTCTGAAGCTCTGGTTATCGTTTGGAATTCCCTTTTCAACCATGAGTTTTTGTAAAGCCCAGGTTAAGGCATCAATTGTATATTACAAACTAACTTCTTTTTAGTTATTTGAAATATTAGTTACATATTACCCTTGGGAAAATAGAGAAAATAGTTACTCAAGTCACTTTTTTGCATTCAGATGAGGCACCTCATTTGAAAGGCTGCAGGGCTCTATCATTTAGTAGCTGTATGACCTTGGAAAGTTTATTTTATCCCCTTCAGGCTGTTTTTCAGCAACAAAACGAAAGTAAAATACCCCTCTTGTGGGGTGCTGTGAGAATCAAATAACATATAAAGCTCCTTAGGAACAGAGACTTTATCATGCTTACCACTTTATTCTAAGTGTCTACTGCAGGCAGTAGCAAGTAAGAGTAAGTTCTCAATAAATCTCTCTATAAACAATAAAAAGTCCTAGCACATTGACTTGCACATACCACCCAATAAAAGGTAGCTATTACTATTCTTGCATTCTTCCTATGATCTTGTTTCTAGAATTCTCAATATATTAATTCTCAGCCTCTTATGGAAGCTACCTTGTTTAATCAACATTCTTCTTAAAATGTAGTTTTAACAATTCAATACTACGTGGTGTATCGGGAGACTGCTTTATCTGAACATAATTATTTTAAGGAAGTCTAAACAAGAGTCTGCGGGGAAAAAGCTAGTCTACCAGCTTATATAAAGAGCAGGCGCTTACAAAACCCATTAACTTTCTCACAATACAACCCTTTAAACACTGGGAAATGTATGATTAAGAGAACATAAAACATCAGCAAACAAGAAGTGATCAGTCAGGTAAAAGAAGAACCAGGATAGTGCAGTATTATGGAAAGCCACTGGAACCAATAGTTAGGTTTATTACTGTGCCTAATAAACAGCCCAGTGTGGTGATTCCTATTCATTTAGTAGCCTCCCCATCTAGAATATACTGTGCTCTTTTTTGATGGCCAGACTGTGTAAAGTTCATACACAGTGTTTACTCCAGGGATCCCGAAATATTGAATGAGTAAACACAAATTTCAAGGAGGGCAATACAGTGAGCAGATGAACAGCTTTCTGATAGGAGACTGTACAACTAATGTTTTCACCAGTGTATTTTGGGACAGCAGATTCAGATTAAGACGCTGGGATTGAATGCAAATAGTAAAATTACAAATACCAAGGAAAAATTTATTTGGAATCTTTGCCAAAGAAAGAAATGTAAATTAATTTAATAATTTGAAAGAACAGTAAGGTTTAGGTTTTGTTCTTATTTTTAGTGTGACTGAGATTGGAGTTTGTAGACATATCTGAAAAAAAAAGTGAAGGGAGAGATGGAAGATGGTAAATGCTGAGGAAAAGATGGAAGGATAAGTCAGTGTAATAAAAAGGAGCATTTTTTTTTTCGCCAACAGAAGTAAAAGTAAAGTGTCTGAGTTAGGTAGACAGGAAGCTGGAATTTTGGGATTCCGTGTTGGAAAGTTGTGAACAAAAGCTGAATGAAAGGATTGTTGATCGCTGGGAAGAGGTGGTCCTATTAGCTCAGCTTTGAGACGACCTAAGAAAATCCCGCTGGGTGCAGTGGCTCACGCCTGTAATCCCAGCACTTTGGGAGGCTGAGGCGGGCGGATCACCTGAGGTTTGAAGTTCGAGACCAGCCTAACCAACGTGGTGAAACCCCGTCTTGAAAAAAAAAAAAAAAGAAAGAAAAAAGAAAATCCCTTCCGCCCCTCCTTCCCTGATCCAATCATTCTGGCTGCATAAAACCACCTGAATCAATCAACTGTTATACTTCCGTTAGTGCTAGGATATATTCATATAACTCCCACGTATTATATTAAATGAAAATAAATCCATCTAAAAATAAGACAACAAGATTGCTGCTACACCAACAAAGGATTTTAAAGAGGCGTGTTTACAAGCTAATTGAGGGCCAGAAGAAAGGAGTTCGTTTAAACTGAAAGTCGAGCTGCGATGACACCTCCTAATGCAATCAAACGCTGTTGCAGCACACTTCTTAAGAGATCGGATTTAACGCCAGGTGACGGGTAGGGTGAGAATCGGGCGAGGCGGCTCCGGCTCCGGCCCCGGCCTCCACCATTCACTCGACGGCTTTCGGCTCGAACGCTTGGTCGCACAGCCTGCCGAGGTTCTAGATGAACTGCCTCGGTCCTGGAAACAAGGAAGCCGTCTCCAGAGACCATCGCCAATGGTAACGCCGGCGGGCTGAGGTCGCCGTGGGAAAAGCGGTAGGCCACCCTGCTTCTCTGATCACCGGCGGACAGGGACACACTGTTTAGGGCCATCTTCAAACACTGCCCGCAGTATTGGCGTTACGTCTCTTGGTCTAGGCAGGCCCTTCGCGACTCCCTAGATCAGTCCAGCCTGTCTCGGACCCCGCGACTAACGACACCGGAAGCCATAACTGGGCCGGCGGAAGAGCAAGAAGCCGCCTTGCCTTTAACGAGCACCACCCTCACGAGCATGCGCAGTCCGTCCGCGCACGTCGACGCCTAGAGTGCAAACGCAACGGGCGTTTACGACGGTGACGCAGGGGAGCGTGAGGACGTGGGGCTTCCGAGATTGCGCAGTGAGTGCGTTGGCCTCGACCCTTTGGCCAGGTTAGGGAGGGGGCGACGTTGATATGGGGGCGGCGGCGGCGGAAGCGGATCGCACGCTCTTTGTGGGCAACCTTGAAACGAAAGTCACTGAGGAGCTCCTTTTCGAGCTTTTCCACCAGGTAAGCGTCTGGGATCGGTCCTTTTGCCTTTCGTTTTCCGTCTGGCCTAGGGCCCGGCCCAGCGGCCACCCGTTTTCTTCGCGCGAGCTCGGCCTTCTGGGGACCGGATGGGTGGCTGTTTGGGGGTGAAGGGCGCGTCTGAGTTGGGAAACGCTCGCTGGGTGTCGCTTTCCTGGAAGATCTTGCTTCGTTTAGGCCAAAAGTGACGACTAAAGGTGGTGGAGGGATCCTCGGTCAAGCTTCCTGTGGTAGAGATCCAGGGGTCCTTAGGGACATAGTGCGTGTGTAGGGTCTTCGTTGAGCAGTGCTTTTTCTTATTCCTCCTGTTCTCATCTTCCTCTTAGGATGATTTGCCTTTGGTTTATCTGACTGGGAACGTAATATTTTAATTTATTTGTGTCTGTGTTCCCTTAAAGTTTGCTTATAAACTTGCAGCATTGTTAAAATACATAAAATCGTAAGTACTCCATAGAAAAACAGCATTTTAGTGTTGCTGTATTAAAATGTGTGGTAGATTCTGAGTATCCCATTCCCCCTAGCCCTATCCCATAATAACTGGTACTGTTTGATTAATCAATACGAAAGTCAGTTTTTAGTCCAAGAAAATCATTCTCTTGTTCTTAATAAATGTTCATTTTCACAGAGTGGCAAAATAATGCCGATTGGTCACTATGTTAAGAAGCCATACATTACTGTGATTTGCAAAAGTGATGGTGTTTCCAGTTCCTTATAGGCCCCCTTCCCCAAATAAATAAATCTAATGTTCAATCATAACTAGGATGTTTACTGTAGCCAAAATGGAAATCGGTGCATCAGTTTTAAACGAAGTTTCTGATTACATTTCTGTTGTTTTTAAACTTTGTCATCTCTTATTTGTAAAATTCGAGTATTTTCGGTTAGTGTCTTTATTTACATTCTAAATGCCTTTTTGTTTGTAGGCTGGGCCAGTAATAAAGGTGAAAATTCCAAAAGATAAGGATGGTAAACCAAAGCAGTTTGCATTTGTGAATTTCAAACATGAAGTATCTGTTCCTTATGCAATGAATCTACTTAATGGAATCAAACTTTATGGAAGGCCTATCAAAATTCAATTTAGATCAGGTAACTGTCCAATGAGGTTAGGGGGGCATTGTTTCCTGCTGTTTTTAAATTTATTATTAATTTTAAAGAACCTCTTATTTGTAGATGAAACTGCTTTCTTAAGCATTGTGAATAGCAAACTTTATATATCCCTGAAAACAGGTAACATTGACAGATTTTGAAATTTGCGCTTAAAATTTCATTTTGGGTTAGTGAAAAGAACATAAACTGTATCACTAAGAGAGTTGGGCTTGAGGGCTCTGAAAAGAGCTAGGTTTATTTTCTGAAAATACTTCTGGCTGCTTTGTAATTACTTTTATATGTTTTGATTCTTGATCATGTGAGGATGAAACTTTCCATGTATCCAGTCTTACAATTTAGGGTGGTGATTAGAAAAATATTGTCAGATTGGATATTTATGGAATGCTTTGTTTTGCTTATCCGATATTATACACTTATAATGTTCACTCTGATGAAACTGTAAAGCAGTCTACAGCAGTTTGAGACTTTTTGTTTGTTTGTTTTTTGAGACAGAGTCTCAAACAGCCTTGCTCTGTTTCCCAGGCTGGAGTGCAGTAGTGTGATCTCAGCTCACTGCAACCTCTGCCTCCCAGGTTCAAGCGATTCTCCTGCCTCAGCCTCCTGAGTAGCTAGAATTACAGGTGTGTGCCACCACGCCCGTCTAATTTTCATATTTTTAATAGACATGGGGTTTCACCATGTTGGTCAGGCTGGTCTTGAACTCCTGACTTCGTGACCCTCATGACTTCTGACCTCATGATTCTCATGACTCCTGACCTCGTGATCCTCATGACTCCTGACCTTGTGATCCCCTTGATCTCTCAAAGTGCTGGGATTACAGGCATGAACCAACGTGCCTGGCCAGCAGTTTGAGATTTTTCTCTTTTAGATTGTGTTTACCTTTTTGGAGTAATTTCAAGTGTGAAGAAAAAATTTCAAGTTAAATTTTCTATCAAAAATAATTTTTCAAATTATTTCATTTTAGGAAGTAGTCATGCATTGCAAGATGTCAGTTTGTCATATCCCCAGCATCATGTCGGAAATTCAAGCCCTACCTCCGCATCTCCTAGCAGGTAATGTTTCTCACTTATTGTTAAGATCATTTATCAGGAATTCTTACAGGGAATAGCCTCAAAACACATGAGTAAATAGTTTCCTTTTTTATGGTCCTATGTCTTTATTCTTCTGCCTTTTGGGGTTATTGTTATATATCTATTCTAAGGGGGCTATAGACAAACACATTGTATATAGTTCCCTGAAAATAGATACTTATGTATAAGTATATGTTCATTTGTAGCAACATAACCATGCCCACATATGTGTACAGTATATGTATACACTTGAAACAAAATTTCTCAAAACATTATTTACCCCCACTACTTGCATTTCTATTTTCTATTGTACTTCATTTTTTAAAATTTTCTATTTATTTTGCAATCATTAATTGGTTGTTACTTAACAGTTGAAAAATACCAATTAGTCAGCAGACTACTGAACTACGAATTCCTAGAATTGGATTCAAGGTCTGCCTCTATCGGTTGTGTAATCTTGAGCTAGTCTCCTTTCGTTAGTCCCATCTTCCCATGTGTAAGGAAAAGAAGTGGAATTAAATGATTTGGAAAATCCCTTCAGGTACTGAGTATTAAAAGGTATCATATTTACTTAAATAATTTTATTTGCTTTGGGGAGGTCAATATTTTACCAGGGACAGTTTTTTGTTTTTTTTTTATTTAAAGATGGGGTTTTTGCATGATGGCCAGGCTGGTCTTGAACTCCTGATCACCCACCTCGGCCTCCCAAAGTGCTAGGATTACAGGCATGAGCTGTCGCGCCCGGCCTGACAGTTTTTTCCTGGTATATCCACAGAGCTATTTAAGAGTCATTTAAGAAAGATTTAATAAATACTTGCCATATGTCAGGTTCTTCACCAAATCTTTTACATATATGATTTCATTTATTCCTTACAGCACTTTTATGAGGGTAGGGATTATTTTTATGTCTACCTTATATATGGAGGGAAATGAAGAATGGAGGTTAACTTGCTGAAGTTCAGTGGGCTGGGATTCAAACCCAGGCAGTGTAGTGTAATTAAGCCTAACCACTCTGGGGAGGAGCTTTAAGTCTAAATGAAGACACGTATTATATATATTTTTGCGACTCTCTGTTCGATTACTGTAATAAGATCTCTAAAGAAAGAGTAGAAAGGGCAGTGAGAAAATTTTAAGAGAAGGAGATGATATAGAGGAATGTGGAACTGAAAGAAGCCAGTGTACCTAGATCATAAGGAATGAAAATGGAGAGCAGTAGGGGATATTGGTAGATAGGCTGGAGAGGGTCTTGTAAACTATTAGCAGGATTTTGAGGTTTTACCCTAAAATAGAGTAGGAAGGCAATGAAATGTTTTAGGTAGAATACTGATAGGAACAAGTTTATATTTTAAGAGGTGCTTGGTTGCAATGGGAGAATGGACTGGAGGGCACAAGTGTGAAAATACAGCAGTGAGGATTTGGTAGCAGGGTATTGATAGTGGTAGCAGTGTAGCAAGGAAGCTATTGATGGGTGAGGTTGATAGTTTAGATTAAGGTGGTGCCATGAGCTAGAGAGAAGTGGATGGATATGAAGAGATACTGGAAGGTGGAATTGTAAACAAGCAATAGTGCAAACAGGGTATCTTCCTGGTTTTCCTTCTTGCCAGCTGAAGTTAACTAACAGTGTTTAAACATTTCTTGGTAAAGTTGGAATTTAAAGCACTTCCAGCCACTTTAATGAAATCTTCAAAGGCATCCTAGGTGGAGGAAAATAAAAAGTTTCCCGCCCAATTTCTTGCAGGGTAAAAAAAACCAGGTGCGGTGACCCATGCCTGTAGTCCCAGCTACTTGGAAGGCTGTGGTGGGAGGACCACTTGAGGCATTGAGTTTGGGACCAGCCTAGGCAACATAGCGAGACACTCTCTTTCTTTAAAGAGTTTCTTTGAGAAAAATGTACAAGTAAATACTTTGGTTTTAATCAAAGGCTAGAGAGTTTGTAATTTTTATAATATAAATTGTACTCCCCCCCCTTTAGCATACAGATAATATAACCTGATTAGAGAAAACTGAAAATTAAAAGATTCAAACTGTAAGACCAGCCAGTTGGTTATTTGATTCTAATGACATTTTAAAATAATTTAAAACATTATTAAAGTGAGTTTTTCTGTAGAGCAAGTTACTCCTATAGGAAGTAAAGAATAAGGTGTAAATCCTCAAAAGTAATATCCTATGCATGTTGTAGAACTCTTAACTTCTTACCTCTGAAAACCTTTCTTTTCTGTCTCAGGAAATGTCTACCTAATTGCTCAAGCCAAAAGTCTAGATCTGATCCTTTATTTCTTCTGTTTTCCTTATTCCACATATCTAGTTGATCAAATTCTTTTCATTTTAGTTTTCAATCGAGGTCTTTGCATTAGCTCAGGAACTGACAAATTATTTATAGAAAGGGCTATATAGTTAATGTTTTATTTTTTATTTATTCATTTTTTTGAGATGGAGTTTCACTCTTGTTGCCCAGGCTGGAGTGCAATGGTGTGATCTCGGCTCACTGCAACCTCCGCCTCCCAGGTTCAAGTGATTCTCCTGCCTCAGCCTCCTGAGTAGCTGGGATTACAGGCATGCACCACCACACTCAGCTAATTTTTCTATTTTTAGTAGAGATGGGGTCTTTCCATGTTGGTCAGGCTGGTCTCAAACTCCTGATCTCAGGTAATCCACCCGCCTCAACCTTCCAAAGTGCTGGAATTACAGGCGTGAGCCACCGCACCTGACCCATAGTTTATATTTTAGACTTTGCAGGAGTTACTGTTTCTGTCTCTGCCATTGTAGCACTAAAGTAGTCATAGATAATACAAAAACAAGGTGTGGCTATGTTCCAATAACACTTTGTTTAGGGAAAACTGAATTTGGCAGTTTGGCCTACCGGCTATAGTTGCTCACCCCTGTGCTAGTCCTTTCAGCTGGGAAGGTTTTGCCTCCAGGTAACCTTGGTGTTCAGTTTTTACCACAATTGTCACCTTTTTAGAAAGACAGTCCCTTGCCAGGTAAAAGGTAGGGGAACCTCCTATCTGTTTCACTTCTACTTGATCTTTAATCATATATTTTATCACTTAAAATCATGAGAAAATATCTTGTCTGTATTCTTATTCTAGCTGCATGGGAGCAGATACCTTGTCTGTCTTGTTCATTCTGACCTTTGAGAAATGTGTTTTGCTCGTGGTTGTCATTTAGTAAATAATTATTGAATGGTTATATGTTGGTTTTACTTTTAGCAGGTACGAAAGAACTGTGGATAATGTGACTCCATCAGCACAGATAATTCAGAGATCTTTCTCTTCTCCAGAAAATTTTCAGAGACAAGCAGTGGTAGGTTGACTGTTTTTCAACTTGAATTGCCAAAAACAAACCATGCTTTGTTAAAATGTTCCTGTTGTATCAAGTAACTGGTTTTTAATTAACTTTGTTAAGTTGGAGGTTTTATTCCTTTAGTCCTCAAGGTGTAAATGGACTTTTTAGATACCTTTTCCCAAATTTTTGTTAGACTAGCGTGATCTTTTTAGATTGAGCACTCATTTTAGTTTTCACTGGGCTGAAATATAAACTTAAAAGACTGAAGAAATAGAAGTAAAACTGCTTTTGTATTTGTTTTTCTTTTCAACCATCATTTACTCATTGTCTGATGATCTTGCACCTTATCCTGAGCGACTCTTCATAAACTTGGGTCTCTAGACCAGTTCCTTTTTGAACTTAACCTTTTTTTTTTGGTGGTGTAATATCATCGTGAGACTAGGCCTAAAACCTTGGCTATCTTTTACTGTTTCATCTTTGTCATCACTTATTCAAATAGGAAGCTATTGGTAACTGTTTGGTGCCTAAATTGTGATCTTGGCTTATAGTCCCCAGGCTTTTGTATTTCATAGGTTTGCAAAATGAAATATAGAAGTGAAAATAAATTTGAGAGACCAGTATGAAGCATGTTAACTTTTAGGCACATATTGCCTATTTTTCTAATTTTACTGTAGACTATTAAAAATGATCATATAGTAATATTTATCCACAGGCAGAATTTGGGAACCACTGGTCTAGTCAATGATACCTTCATTTTCCCCACACTAGTTCATCTTGCACACTATTTCAGAATTAATATTACAGTTCTGTTTTGCTTATCTTCTCTGCACATTGACTTTCCATTGTTTGTAAGATAAAGTCACATTTCTGTAGCCCAATTATTAGGGATTCTTATTGTCTGGTTCCAGTAAACCCTGTAGTCTTACCTTTAATTGTTTACTACTTACTAAGATCTGTAAGCTGTCTCAGCCAGAATTACCTGGTATTTTGTGAACCTGTTCTGTGTTTCCCTGTTATTATTGTTTGTGCAATTGCCTTTTCTTGGAATATCTCCCCTTTAAAATATTTTCTTAAAATATTCCATCCATTGTTTTAATACCCAGATCATATGCCACATTCGTGAAACCTTTCCTGATGATACTGACCTCCTGATTCTTTATATGTGTTTTACACAGTGATTTTGCATCATAATCATTTTGTGTGACTTATTCTATAAGTTGCATTCTTGAGGACAAAGAGTAGTATTTATGTATATATATCATGTAGGTATACATTGGAATTAATGAAGCTATTGTACTACTTTAGTTTTAGTCGTGTTTAATATACGCTAGGCAACAGTGATTTTATTTTCTTTCATTATCTGTAACTGACCAAATACATATTGGCTTTGCTGTCTAGAAGTATTAATATTTCCGCTTTTCCTCTCCCCTCAGATGAACAGTGCTTTGAGACAAATGTCATATGGTGGAAAATTTGCTTCTCCACCTCTGGATCAATCAGGATTTTCACCATCACACAGTCATAGTTTTAACCAGTCTTCAAGCTCCCAGTGGCGCCAAGATACCCCATCCTCACAGCGTAAAGTCAGAATGAATTCTCATCCCTACCTAGCAGATAGACATTATAGCCGGGAACAGCGTTACACTGATCATGGGTCTGACCATCATTACAGGGGAAGCAGAGATGATTTCTTCTATGAAGATAGGAATCATGATGGCTGGAGCCATGACTATGATAACAGAAGAGACAGTAGTAGAGATGGAAAATGGCGCTCATCTCGACACTAACACGTGTTAAAAGGACATTGTTTTTATAGGGTCATTTTAGGCCCTTTGACTAAGTTGATAAGGAAATAGTTTGTTGAAAAACTGTACAGAGCAGCTTTACAAGTTGTCACATTTCTTTTTACATTTTTTAAAGCTACAATTTCATACAAAATGAATTGTGGTTTTATTACAGTAATAACCTTTCACCTCAGGGTTTTATGAAGAGGAAAGGGTTTTATGCAAAAAAAAAAAAAAAAAAGTGCTACAATTCCTAATCATTTTAGACACTTTAGGAGGGGACAAAGTTGTATGCTAAAGCAGATATTTTAATTATTCATTGTCTTTTTATATTGCAAGAAATTTCTGGCTAGTGAATCAGATTTTGGCGTACATAATAGAAAACATCCAAGTTGACAGTCTAAAATGGCTACCAGTATTTTGTTAATAAATTCAAAAATACAACTTTTCAGTGATTCATTTTACTAACATTCTATTTGAGAAGGCTATTGGTTAAGTTTGGGGATAAAGTCATTGCTTAACTTCTTAGATAATTTAGATATAAATTCTGTGACATGCTCTTGAGCTTTACCCTAGTTGAACATACAAGTATAGATCTACACATACTGTTTTATTCTAAAATTTTAGTAATTGTTCATTAAATCACAATCGAGGTATAATAAGTCACTCAGGAAGTTGAAATATCTCTACATGTATGTTTTTACACTAAAAATACAGAGTTAGCATAAATCCCCTTTTCAGGAAGAACAAAAATGTCAGTGCATAGTTAGATAAAATGGTAAAATGTTTTACTGAAAGCATACTCCTTTGGAAAAAGATTCATGAAGCCTTTAAGTACTGCGTCTGTTGGTCAAACATTAAAAATTGTAACATTTTCAAAGTGCCCAGGATGTATACAAAGACACATTTAATGGAGATTGTACAGGTAGCTTTTTTGTTTGAACCTTTGAGAGAATCTAATCTTAACATTTTCTAATTTTAAAATTTTAAAATCTTGTTTAACAAAACTTTTAAAGATACTGTTTTCCTTTACAGAATTGTTTACAAAAGTTCATTTGTTGAAAAACAAGGATCCTTTTTAATACCACAGCATTTGTACTGTCACTTTTTAATATACTAAAAAAAAATATAAAAGGAAGGGTGTGTGTTTTTTTTTTTTTTGATGTCACTGACTTCAGAAACATCGTATACAAAAAATTACCAGTATACTTTTATTCACTGATTGCTTGCTGTTTAGAATGTCAGTTCTTTAATTTTGAGCATCTTAAAATACATCTTTTGTACATATAGAGCATGATGTTTCAGAATCAGATTTTCAGTGACCCCTGGATTATAGTTTGGAGTACTTTAGTTACCTTCAGTGGTCTCTAGGAGTTTTATGTACACTTAGATTTCCTGTTTAAAAATGAACTCAGTGTTTCTGTACCTAAGTAAATTGAGTTATTCAACTACTCAGCAAAGAATTATGAAAAATTTGTTTGCTTAAGCATTTTCACAGTAGAATTTGTTTCCAATGAGATTATTATTATTGGGTGTCTTATCTATATGAAAACTTATTCAGTAGGTTTGTAGATACTTAACAAAGATGAATACTGCTTTTTTGTTGTTTGATTGTTTTTTGAGACAGAGTCTTGCTGCAACACCCAGGCTGGAGTGCAGTGGCTGGATCTCAGCTCACTGCAATCTCCACTTCCTACGTTCAAGCGATTCTCCTGCCTCAGCCTCCCAAGTAGCTGGGATTACAGGCATGCACCACCATGCTTGGCTAATTTTTGTGTTTTTAGTAGAGATGGGGTTTCACCATGTTGGCCAGGCTAGTCTTGAACTCCTGACTTCAAGTGATCCACCCGCCTAGGCCTAAGTGCTGGGATTACAGGCATGAACTATTGTGCCTCGCCTAATACTGCTTTATTACAACTTTACCTGTGGTCAGATCCTTTCATGCTGGTTAACAGGCGACCCTGACTCAGAATAATCTTTTTCAATGACTTTTTGGGGGAAGCTTGTGAAGTTCGGGTGAATCTTCTTTTTCACTTCACGTTCCATGAGCTGAAAGTGACCAAACTAAATACATGTAAAAAGACAGTGCAAGACAGCCTCAAAAAATTGAATACAATTGGTGAGACAACTCATAAGTACGGGTCGAATATCCCTTATCCAAAATGCTTGGGAAGTGTTTTGGGTTCTGGAATATTTGCATTATGCTTGCTGGTTGAGCATCCCAAGTCTGGAAATACAGAGTGTTCCAATGAGCATTTCCCTTGAGTGTCACATCTGTGTTGGCACTCCAAAAAGTTTCATATTTTGGAGCATTTCAGATTTTGGATTTGGGATGCTCCAGCTCCAGCTTTGGGAGAGCTACAACAACAGAAAGGAAGAAGAGATTATTCTTGTGGGAGAGCAGTTTCTCTCAGTGTTTCCCATGGGATGCTAGTCTCGTAAGGTGTTACGCAAAAAAAAAAAAAAAAAAAAATCAAATGTTTGGAAGCCATTGTGTATTATTGTGTGACTTTCTCTTAGTCAAAAACAGCACCATAAAATTTCTGACAAGTACTACAGTAAAGAAATTCCTTAATACTTAGCCTAGTATTTTCTACCTTTCCCCATCTAAAATAAAATTTTTATCCCACTTTATAATTTTGTTGTGTGTGCCCACTTTCCCCGTACCCACTGCTACCATCTTAGAGTAGGCAATTTTCTCTACAGGATTATTCCAGCAGCACTGTAATGTTTTCATGCTTCCTGTACTTTCCTCAAATTCATTCCACACCCTTAAAAATTGAAGATGTAAATCTGTCACTCGCCTGAATTAAAGCTTCAGTGGCCTCTGACTTAAGTACAAAATTCTCAGCCTAATATGACCCCTATTTGGCATCTGCTACTTCAGTCTCCTGTGATGACTTCACCGCTTTAGACCTCATAGTAACTGTCCCTCACTGCTCAGTCTATGCACTACTTCCAAGAAAGTCTTTTCAGGACTTGCTTTTAAGGTTTGTTAGGTGGCATTTCATGAGTACTTAGTTTTGGGTTAATTCATCCCATTAGTGAGGCAAGACTTTTGAATAACAGGTAGATGCCTCATGAGTTATGAAATAACCCATTCTGGCTAGTGGGAACAGACACTGATTCTGGTCACATGTGAAGGCTAAGAAATATTCCCTCTAATTCTTTTGGGAAATCCTTTCTCTGTCTTTAGGTAGTTTCTTCAAACCTGTATACTGATCAGCTCTCTCACGAATACTGGAGAAAACCTGCAGGTCTCTAGGACTTCTCTCGCTGTGCAACTTGCTGCTTTTCAGTGCTGTGTACCAGCCACCCCAAATGCCTTTGTTTCCCTGGACTCTCAGCCATGTCTCCTGAGCTCAGTGAGTTTGCCAGGATCTGCCTGCCCTGTCCCCCATCCCCACACACTGCAGCCTGAACATTCCCTCAAGGTAGCAAGCAAGGCAATCATGCTTCATTTGTTTTCTGTTCTCTGGGATCGCTGTCCTTTGTTCCTGATGTCTGTTGCCTTTGTGTTGTTTGTTTCAGGCAGGAGGACAAATCTAATCCCTGTTACTCCATCTTGGCCAGAAGTTGAAGTTAACCCACGGATTTTGATTTGTAATACCCTCACTCTTCTTCATTTTTAATAGTCTGTATTTTTTCTTTCTTTTTGAGATGGAGTCTTGCTCTGTCGCCCAGACTAGAGTGCAGTGGTGTGATCTCAGCTCCTGCAACCTCTGTCTCCTGGGTTCAAGTGATTCTCCTGCCTCAGCCTCCTGAGTAGTTGGGATTATAGGTGTGCACTGCCATGCACAGCTAATTTTTTGTATTTTTAGTAGAGATGGGGATTCAACATGTTGGTGAGGCTGGTCTTGAGCTCCCGACCTCATGATCCACCCACCTCGGCCTCCCAAAGCGCTAGGAGTACAGGCATGAGCCACCATGCCCAGCCAATAGTCTGTATTTTTAGTTTTGATTTTTCTCTTTTAACTTTAGATATTGAGAAGAGTCTTTATTTCTAAATGACTTTTTTTCCTCCATTCTTCTGTTGTATTTCTAATTCTGTGGCTTTGTAGACAGAGAATGTAACCTATGTGATAAAAACCCGTAAAGAGACAAACCAGATTGCCACCTGGTTGGTAACAGGATTCTTCTAGGTTGCCTGGCAGTGAGTTAGCTGGGCTGAACCGTGGCTCAAGCACACCTCTCCAGAAGATGCCAAGAGAGTCTAGGCCCACATCCAACCTCTCTGGCTGAGTCTGTCATACGCTGTGTGACTCCAGCATGGTATTGCATTAGTTGCATGGTATTTGCTTGATGATTTCTTTTCCCAGCTTTTATAATGGTTTCATGGATGTTTGAATAAGATTTGTTTTCTCTGTGTCAAAATTTTATCTTTACAAAATGCTCTCTTACCTGATAAGATTTGTAAACCCAAAAGTTAGACTGAGGGATCATTTAAAAAATAAAAAATTTCTGTGCATTTTATTTTAGTTTAGTACACAAAAATAAACATTCAGTTGTCAGTCTTTTGATGCAGGGCTAGGACCTTTTTAAGTTTTTTTTTTGTTTGTTTGTTTTTTTTTTTTTTTTTTTTTTTTTTTTTTTTT